TCTGAGCTCTGCGACGCGGGGGAGCAGCAAGTGCGTGGGAGGCGGTCGCCGCTCACGGATGCCGGAAGCCGCGCGGGCGGCGCGGAGACGCGTTTCGCCGGGCCAGCGTCGCCTGTAAATGAAGACGTCGCGGCGCCACGGACCCTTGAGTAAAGTCGGCGCCGTGGCGATCAAACTGCAGTGTAAATAGTGTAAATAGTGCTGTGGGTATGAATGCATGAATGAATGAATGAATGAATGGGATTGTAAATAACCAAGAATGAATGCGTGTGAAAATGAACAAAAAAAAGAAGGAACAAGAACATTATAGAGAACTAACCCGAAAATCTTTACAACTAAATAAAAACAAACAATTCCCAAAGAGGAAATGCAATTAGTTTTTAAGTTAGCATAAGTTAGTTTGTTCAAGTTACTGCCCTTATAACCTGCAAATGCCTCATCGGCTGCAGGTATTATGTATTCCTAAGGCAAATAAATTCCAGGGTAACTGGAGAGGGGAAACAAAGAAAAAAATCTCCGCGCATTACGCCCTGAGGAAGGTAGCAGAATGGCGACCGAAACGTCGGCACCTTCGCCATGGACGCGGCGTCACCCGGACAGCCTAGTAAATACCGACTCCGTCCGCGGAAGCCTACGCTCTTGGATGTGTATATCCGTGTGGTCCTAGACGGCCAAATCGCGATCAACAAAAACAAACATTTTCACACATCACAGAGCATGTTATAGGCAAATATAGATCACCAATTACAGAAGCCGAATACCTGCCCTTCAGAGAGCATCTGCAATATTATTGCATAAATAATAGGTTGACAATAAGAACATAAGAAACCCAATGTAAAATGACTGACGATAAATGAAAGTGAATTTCGGTATTCTGAGCGAATGAAGAAGCACCATTCAAGACGTCTGGTAGAGGAAACCTAAGTGTTAACTTTTCATTGCGTCAAATTTAGATGACTATATTTTGTTAATTGAATCCCAAACTATTCAAGCAGTTATTTCAAATTCAATAAACGTCTACAATTGCATTGCCGTTAATACTAACCTGATATGACTTTCTTCAAAACATTATAAGGAAATGTGAACCTAATCTCCTAACAATCGTTTATTAGGTTTTAACGATTATGTTAATGTTAGCGTTTCATATTCACGCGGCACATTCAAAAGAACACAATAAATTAATGAAATTGTAGATATTATTCCATAAGGTAGTGGCTTCGTTGTTGAAAACTCTGATACTTTCATAATTCTCAGAGTGTTTCTGTGTTTTCACAAGATGACCTTCTTGGCTTTTACGTGTTTCGGAAATATTTGTAAGAACTCACGTCTCCATGATTTTGGCTCGATAACCACTAACCGCAAACAACTGGTTTGGATTTGGAAAATAGATATTGAAAGCACATGTACTCATAAATGTGATAATGTGAACAAATTGCCGATAGTATAATATTAACGACGTGACAGAGAAGTCAAAAAATCAAGTTTTTCTAATTTTAGAAAAAACTAAAGAATAGAGCTATACGGCATTTATGTCATATTTATGGTTATCTTATAGAGTACATTTAGCACTAACTCTCCCAGAAGCTTAAAGAAAACATTTGGAGTCGTCTTTGAAAAGTATGCTTTTTAATTCTTTAATATTGCACGCAATATTGCGTGAAAAGGACTAAAATGTTCAAAAACGTGTACATAACGATAATGAAAGAACTTCCTATAAAGAACAAATTGTATTTGAAGGAAAAATGTGTATCTTCAATTTCGTAGTTGCAGAAAGACGGCCAAAAACACAATTTTTTTGAATTTTTTTGAAAATTCAGAGTTAAACCTAAAAATAGGACCTATGCCACCTTTATAAATATATTTTACTCTATTCAACACTATGTGGCAAGTTCTATTTCACTCTATGTGGCTAGTTCGTATAGCTAGCCGAGACCAAAGGAATTAGAAAACTGATAGGGAAAATCTGTGCCTTTGTGTAGCACCACGTTTTTCTCTAAGTCTGAAACAATTACAGATGTGAGAGCGTAGCTTTCCGCTGCCGTAGTTAGTAACTATTTGACCGCGTACTAGGCGCAAGTGTCAACGTTTCAGCTGCTATTTTGTGGCCGTGCCTAGGACGCGGCGTCTACTGGACAACCAAGTACATGACTACACAAATGCCAAATGTATTTTTAACTAACTCCCAGCTATTGGAAAAACTTTAAAAAAATCACAAGTATTCTGAGAGAAAGCTTAAAGATTGTTTTTTTACGTGCCTGGTCCGCTGAAAAACAATTCACAGTAAATCCCGGGGTCCAAACTGTTCCCCTTCATTTGCCCACATGTCCCCCACTTCTCCTTCACCTATGACCGAATTGATATCTTATAAACTGCCAACGTCTTTCCTTAGCCTGTGATATACAAAGGATTAGAAATCTTTAAAATGACTATAATTTGTTACAAATATCCAACTCTAAATATTACTGGGTGCTACAATAATGTATACAAATGTATAATAAACTAAAATAAATGAACAGAACTTTTGCAGACATTTTCAAAGTATATTTAAAGTCAAGGCGATTAAAAGGGGGGAAATAGCAAAAATTGTTTTAATTTTTTTAACTGGCAGCCCAGCAGTCGAAAAAACCATTAAATAAATTCACATCAATTTGTGTTTTGAGAGAAACTTCTCAGAATTTTTAGAGCAAATTCCAGGGTTCGAAGACACGGTAAAAATTATTTTTATTTTTTTCAAAAATATTTTTTGTTGCGTTTGAATTTGACGCTGGGAAAACGTCAAAAATATTTTACTGATAATAAGAATTATTTTCTTAATTTTCATATTTTTTCCATCGGATAAAATAGTGTTAAGTTGACGAAAAAATTAAAATTAAAAAAACACTTTTGTCTGTTGAGTAGTGTGGGAAGTGGTTTCGTAGGCTAAGAATTTTTTCAAAAATATTATTTTTATGATAGTGTTATAGTGTAAGTACTCATATGCCATTTGGTTTAGGGGAACTTTTTACCATCTTATTCGGGGGTGCCCTTTAAAGATCCATTTGAAACACGCAGTATATGAAGTTCATTGGGTCAGGGAATATCATTTTTTGCAGAAAATGGTCCGAACGGTTTGGGAACAATAGTCTGATTGGTAATGTGGAGTATTTTTATGTGCAAGTAGCGTAGTGAATTTGAAGTTGAGTAATATTTGATGATAGCATTTAAAATCCTAGATAAAAAACAAGAAAAAACATTTTTTGCTTATCATAAAGAATAAATATATTGATTATTTCATAACATATCATTTACATTATTTAAAAGTTGTTAACTTTGATTTGAGTAAGAAAGAACATTGTGTAGATTATATTGTTTTCAACTTTAAAAGTAACATTAATTGTCATTAATTGTAACAGTAAGATTAATTGTCATAATTGTAACAGTAACATTAATTGTCATTAATTGTAACAGTAACATTAATTGTCATTAATTGTAACAGTAACATTAATTATTTAACATTAATTATATAACTAAATATTGTTCTTTGCAATATCAGTCAGTTTTGAAGTATCGAGATTCAAATAAGAACAAAATTTGAAAGGGTTGAAATATATTATTTATAATTATCAACCACATTTTCATTAATTTCATCTGAATATTCAAACAACATAAAAAGAATAATATAAGAATACAAGACCCTAATTTTAATATCAATATCATATTTAATACTAAAACCTAATAAGAAATTGAATACACAAAGAACAAATTGGGAACACTGATTAAAACGTGTGCTAAAATATCGACTGAATGGAATGTTTTCTTATTTCTGGTTTAACAATAAAATTTTGCCATTTCAAATTTATTCATTCAGCAGGTTTCAAATCATTATCATTTCCTTGCGGCTCTGTATTGATGTACATCCAGCTTTTTAACGAATGCTTTTTCCGCATCATCATTTGAATAGGTCTCCACTATTAAATCATGAATAATTGCCATTTTCATAGCAAATTGGGTGACCTGGAAAACACAAAACTGTTTGCAAATTATGTACATCTTGGGGAAAATTTTAACTTACATATCAAAATGCAATGTTTGAATGCATCTAGAGTGCGTTCTACTGTGTGATCTCACCATGTTGGGATATTTGATGTTCAGAGACTCCTCCGTAGTAAAGTAGTGGGCAACAGGGCCATTCATAACCAACCGGGGAACCTCGAAATAATAAAAATCATTGACAAAAACAGCAAGTTGCAAAACATATGCATTGTGCACAATATAGTTTTAAATTAATAGTTATTTATGCACCAAGGGCGTTATAAGGGTTCTAAAGATCAAGCCGCGACAAAACGTCGGAGGGCTTTTTGTCGCGGGTATTTATTGGCCTGTTAGAATTAAAGACAGTCAATGCATTTGCCTATTAAATGTTAACATATGTGTGTGTGTGTATATATATATATATATATATATATATATATA